ACATATCGATTTGAGTTTTACAATAATAATAATTTTGAAAACAAATTTTGTTTTGTTGTTCAATCAACAATTGCGGATCCTTCGAACCACATTTTTAATTTATTATTCTTAAAAAGAAAAAACCTCACTTGAAATTTAGAAAAAAACCTTGTATTCTTAACAATTTTAATGGACATAAATAGTTTTAAATTTTTTTTTTTTTTATTCTGATTCGAAGGATTCAAATAGATTTCATAATAAATTCAAATATGTTTTCAAAATTATTATAGGAGTAAAACTCAAGTTAGTACGTTGAAACGCATTAGATCTATTTTACTCTAAAAAGAGGTACCTAGTGTGGAATCCCCTTAATAAAAATATGTTTTACTAAAGATTGTATGATTGTAAATTGTAATATATTAAATTATTAACACATGTCATAATAACATTGATGTGATACTGTTATTATAATATTCTAATTCTATATTTATATTTTATATATTATTAGATTAAATTGTTTATTAACCAAATATCAATTTTCGAATCAGACGAAATCACAGCTTTTGGAATTTTCAATATAAATTTAAATCTTGTTGTATCAGTAAGTATGCAATTCAGTATTTGAGTACCTACCTAATTAATTGTGTTTTTTAATTATTAGATATTATAATACAACCATAAAATATAATATTTTCCTTTTTATTTTTCTAGATACTAGTACTACTTATAACTGGATTGATAACTTTAATACAACTTAAAGAACATCCATTTATGAAGCAATCTGTAGGCAGTTTAGTAAACTACTTACGAAATGTAACGAAGTTAACATTTAAGTAAGTTAAAAAGTAACAATTTTTTAATGTATACTCATCGCCGCACGTTAAGAATTTAAGATCATGACCGGGCGGCGGACCGTTTAGCGTATTTTACGCGTAGCTGGATTTTGATTTTATCCCCCCAGACACTGGTATATACATATATAATTAATTAATTTATTAAAATTAAAAAAATGCATTTGAAATATATATTATTTTTTAGGACCCCCCCCCCAGAAAATTTTTGAAAGTCCGTTACTGAAGTGAGTAGTAGTGAGTTCTATATTGTTTTATAAACACGTACACGACTCTGTTTTCACGTAAAGCGTTCCGTATATCAAAGTAAGAGTGGTCACTTAGACGAGCGGTGCGGTGGAGGAAGTATTGTTTTGAATACGCGGCTGGTGATATCTTAACCTGCGGTGAATATATTGTATAACATTCTAGAATTGTTCAACCCTTAAGAGAAGCAATACCAATGACCATACATTTATAAGCACAAATAGAGGTTTTATCTTATTAAATTTATTACAAATTATTTATTTTTGAATTGGATATGTAATAATATAAAACAGTTCCAAATTATATTTGAATAAAAATACAGAATACTGTATATAGCTACTGGATAGCTAATTATGGTGTGTATGAACATTATACATACATTCGCAGTAACATAGTGGAGTATTCTGTGGGGGGGTTATCCCCCCCGAAAAAATTTCTGGATACGCCACTGTAGATACGTAATTTATAATAAAATATTAAAATACAAGGTTTTTGTTTTAACTTTTTCAGAGATTAATACTAATTATTACTGGATTAGTAACGTTAATACAACTGAAGAACTTCCAGTTATAAAAAAGCAAGCGGTAGACATTTTAAAGAAGATCATACAAAATTCCATGAACATTTACATAAGTGAAAACGTAAAAAATTTAAATGTATTGTATAATAATCTAAAATTTTTCAACCCTTAAGAGTAGCAATACCATACATTTAAGAACACAAATTGAAGTTTATTATCTTATTCAGTTTATTACAAATTATTTATTTTTTAATCGGATGTGTAATAATATAAAACATGACCAAATTATTTTTTTATAAAAACACAGGATAGCAAATTATGGCGTGACCGTATGGGATCAGGGATATATATACAATATATTATATACATACGTATTTCATATTATATGCACAATTAATGTGTACAAGCTCACCAAAGTTCAAAGAAACTACATAAATGCTCTACTGATTACTATAAATACTCTACAACGACGTGTTTTCGTGTTTTGTCTTCCTCCTAGTCTTTTTTTATTGTGAATTAAGTATAACCATTTCATACATTGTCTTTTGGGAGTAGTAAATGTATACGCTTCTATGAGTTCTACGTCATTCAGTTAACAGATTTTCCTTGGCAATAAATATTTAATTTAAGTCTTAAAAAAAAATTAAATGCCCAAAATAATTTGAAAACAAACTTACCCGTAAGCATCGACTCTTCCGGTGAAACCTAGCTATAATGCATTATCAGTACGTGAATCCACCAAAGACATAGCTATCTTCATCCCTTTTCATAACGATCCGAAGTGAAACTCGAAAGTTGGTATCGAAATACGTATTTTTATGAAAATAACCTGAACGTAACGAAATGTGTGAGTTCGTGCTATAAGTTATAATTTATCATATATTATACCCAATACTGTTAAACGAGCAATTTTTTTTACTGTCTGTCTATTGTTGGCTTATTTTATAGTTTTGTGCACTAAAATTATTAGAATTGTTAATCGTCTCCGACGAATGTCAACAATTGGTGATTGTTATAGATTATGATATAATAAATATATTATTTAATATGATATATGCATAGAACAGTTCTATTAGAACTTATATAATATAGTAACGAACTAAGATAATTATTTATCTTAGTTCATGCTCAATAGGTACCTATTAAGGCCTCCACACACTAAGGCACTAAAGGAGTGTATTACACTTTTATAGTGCCCAAGCCCGGATTAATGCATTTTGAGGCCCAGCCGCCCAGGGGACAAAGTTTTAAATGAGGTCCCTGTGCAAAAAAAAATAATAATGTATATAATATTAGGTACCTGTTATAATAAATATATATAGGTAATAGGTACATAGTGATAAATACAGAATAACGTATCATTTTATTTATAAATTGTAATTTACAAGCTTATTTCCTCACTAGTAATAATCATCGATTTTTTTTAGGTAATTTATGCAGTGTTATATATAGCCTATAATGAAAAAAGTAATGCACAAATCTGAGGCCCCTAACTAAATTCTAAGTATTGAGGCCCTGGTGCCATGCCCCCCTGGACCCTCCTTATCCGGGCTTGATAGTGCCCTACACACACACTGAAACGGTGGAGGTAAAATTATTTTGTCTTGGCCGGTGCACTTCGGTGGTGGTAAAATTGTGTCTGGGACTCATTTTGCCGTAACCGCTACCGCTGTAGTGTGTGGGAACCTTTAGGATTGGTATTATTAAAATGTATAATTGTTTAAACTTATTTTTTAATAGAACTCTGGTATAGCGATGTTATCCTCAGTGGTGACGTGGGCCATTTAACTATGCTATAATATATATAATATATAAAGTAACTGAAAATTGTAATTTCTTGACCAATAAAAAAATGGTATCATCATTTTAGTATATAGGAGTAATACCTACATTAATTTCCATAAGGGACACTACATCGGTTAATTACTATATGTTCACGTGACTAAAGCCTCAATATATTTTATTAATATTTGTAATTTAATAAAAACACTGGTGGTTAACACTTAACTAACACGCATGTTGAGCGACTGTAGCGAGGAACATTATTCTGTTGAAATAAATAAAACTAAAAATATATTTCTTAACAAAAAAAAAACACAAGATCAACATAATATTAAGTAGGTAACTTTATTAGATAAACAGTTTTTGAAAATATGGTTTTCTAAGTTGAAAAAAAAAACCAAAATGTAAAAAAATTAATTTAAATTTTAAATTTTTACCAAATAATTTAGAAATTTTTACAGAAAAAGACAATGGCAAAAAGGTGAAAAAAAATAATACCCGACGATAGGGCCACTTGTCACCCGGACTCAGCAGCAGAAGAGTCGTCCGGCATGTCTGATATCTATCCACGCCGTGGATACGTACTATGTATAGAGGCGCCACGTACGTCCTGCACGGCATGGATGTGCGTCTTCAGTCTGCTGCTGGACTACCGGAAAAATAGACATCGTCCAGTCCAGACATTCCGTATCCCTGGTGTCCACCTGTTCGTCTCCTGTGTTCGCTTCGAGCTTCTATCTTTCATGATAGCAAAAACTGTACGACGTGCTGTTTACTACTAGGAAATGCAAAATGTTATGAACTCAAAACTAGAAAATCTTCCTAAGGTGTCACCGGGAAATCAAATTTTTACTAGACGACGGGTGAAAATACAATTACATATACCCAGACCAAATAATCTGTGTTTATGTATTAAAAACAATGGATTTCGTTGTACTTGGCATTGTAGCTACCTTTCATATAATTGGTTTATGTTAAGTTTCAATAATTAAAACAAGTGGTATAACATACTTACCACCATACATTATATAACCATTAGATATTGTACCATGTATGCAGATATTAAAATAACAAAATACTATTAATATTATAAACGCGAAAGTTTGTGACTATGTTACTCTTTAACGTATAAACTACTGGACGGATCTTGATGAAATATTTTTACTGTGTGTATTTAAAACATGGGCTAATTTAAAAAGGGAGAGGAACAACCCCGTGGGGGGGGGGTGGTGCTTAAACGGGAATTTTGAGATTTCAGATGGAAATTTGTGTTCTGTGGTGTACCGAGTACTAATAATTAACACATTACATTAGATTAATTAAATATTCACTTTATTAGACATAGTTGTTTCAATACAACATTACAATACTCAGCAAGAGAGTATATCATAAAAACATAACCTTAAAACTAATTATCATGGAATACTACATACATTACATTCCTCCCGACTTACATAAGAATTACATTTCATATAAAATTATTGAATATAATATAATATTAATTGTATAATAATAAAAAAAATAATATAAGTAATAATATAAGTAATATTGTACATATTAATTATTAAATAATTTGAACATTATAATTAAATAATAATAATAATAAATTAACATTCAATAGTCTATAAATCTAAACGAACAGGAGGTTTAATAACCCTACGGCTTTTCCTCAATTCCACCCCCTCAACTTTATCCTCTGTTTCCAATTCTACTTCTTTTTCTGCCTCTTTAACACTTTCACTTATAACTATTTGTTCTTTAATATTACCCTTATTATTATCAGCATTTTGTAATTCTTCTAATAAATCTCCATTAATTTCTACTTCTGTTCCATTTTTATTCATACAATCAATTATTTGGTTTAAATGTCGCTTATAAATGTTACCCTTAATAATTTTAATTAAGTATGTAACAGGTGATAATTGTTGTATAATTTTTCCCTGTATCCACTTATTCCCTTCTCCATAATTCCTACACATAACCTCATCTCCAATTTCATACGATTTTGTTCTACCACCCTTATAATTTTCCTTGGCTCTTTCTAAGCTTTTTGTATAATTATATTTTGCCTTGACTATTAACCTATCCAATGCTATATTCAACTGTCTACCAATGTGTAACTCTGCAGGACTCACCCCAGTTGAACAATGATTTGTACTATTGTAGGCTAGAATAAATTTACTTATGTTGTCTTCTATATCTGAATTTTTTGCACACTTTTTAAGAAACATTTTAAAGGTTTTGACTGCATTTTCTGCAGCTCCATTAGTCGAAGGACTATATGGTGGAGTCTTAATATGTGTAACACCATTAATTTTTAAAAACTCTTCCATTTCATAAGAACATAAAGAAGGTCCGTTGTCAGTGACTAATTTTTTTGGAATTCCCCAAATAGAAAAATATTCTCTTAACACTTTGATAGTTGATACTGTAGTAATATTAAGTAAATGTTTAACATATAACCACTTTGAAAAAGCATCAATTATCACTATGAACATTTTACCATCTACAGGTCCCAAAAAATCTAAATGTATACGTTGTGATGGTCCTTCTGGCCAAGGCCAACTATGTAATACACTTTTAGGTGGATTATTACTATTAGCTAAACAAGCAACACAACTTTTTGTGATGTTCTGTATATCATTATCAATACCAGGCCACCAGATATATGACCTAGCCACAGATTTCATCTTAACCGTGCCCATATGCGTATGATGTAACTCATTTAATAATTCCTTTTGGAATTTACCAGGTACTACTATTCTATGTCCCCATAACAAACACCCTACTTCAATGGTTAATTCATTTTTTCGATTAAAATAAGGCTTTAATTCATCCTTTACTTTTTTGATCTTATCTGGCCATTTATTAGATAATACCCTAAAATAAACTTCACGTAGCACTTTATCTTCCTTAATTTCTGTACAAATATCTAAATCAGTAATTGATTTTATATTTGTCATTATTAAATTAATAAAAAAATTATCACTCTCAGCATCATTAATGTTATCCGAATCTTTGATAGGTAATCTAGATAAGGCATCAGCATTACCATTATTCACCCCATTAATAAATTCAATTTTATATGAGTACCCTGATAAAAACACTGCATATCTCTGAAGCCTATGTGCAGCCATAACTGGTATCCCTTTATTTTCTCCAAAAATACTCACTAACGGTTTATGATCAGTTCTTAAAATGAATTGCCGCCCAAAAACATATTGGTGGAAATACCTAACAGCAAAAACTATAGCCAAAGCTTCTTTATCGATTTGTGCATACTTCTTTTCACAATCTGTTAATGTACGAGACGCAAAGGCAATAGGTTTTTCCGATCCATCAGGTAATCTATGCGACAAAACCGCACCAATGCCAATTGGGCTAGCGTCGCTTGCAACTATTAACTCCCAACTACTATTATAATGTACAAGTATATTCTCAGATACTATTGATTCTTTGATTTTATTGAAAGCTAATTTTTGTTCCACCCCCCAATGGAATTTAACATTATTTTTTAATAATGCATACAAAGCACCTGCTTTAAAAGACATATTTTTAATAAATTTGCCATAATAATTTACTAATCCCAAAAAAGCTTTAACTTCCTGAACGTTTTTAGGGATTGGGGCTTCTGTAATAGCTTTGATTCTCTCTTTAGGTATGTGCAGTCCTTCCTTATCAATATGATAACCAAGAAATGTAACATTATCACTGAAAAACTTACATTTACCTTTTTTAAGAGTTAAGCCAGCATCATTCAACTTTTTCAAAACACTATCAAGTCTATTATTTACTTCTGTGTAATCTTTACCTGATACTACTACATCATCATAAAAACAAACTGTACCTGGTATATTACAAAGTAACTTTTCCATTTCCCTTTGCAGCATACCCGGTGCAGATGAAATTCCATATGGTAATCTTTTGAACATGTATAACCCTTTATGAGTAGAAATTGTGGTTAACTTTTGACTTTCTTCGTCAAGTAACAACTGTTGATATGCTTGGCATAAATCTAATGTACAAAATACAATTGCTCCCTGGAATGCACTTATTAAGTCTACTACTCTAGGTATCGGATATCTATCGACTTCCAGATATTTATTTAAAGTTACCTTATAATCCCCACACAACCTTATAGATTTATCAGGTTTAGCCACTGGAACTATAGGAGTAGCCCAATCACTTGATTCCACAGGAACTAACAGCTCTGCTTTAATTAGTCTTTCCAATTCTTTACTCACACTATCCTTAAGAGAAAAAGGTATAACTCTAGGTTTACAAAACACAGGAATAGTGTTTTCTTTTAAATACAATTTAAAAGTTTTATGTTTAAAACATCCTAATTCCTCATTAAAAACAGAAGGATACTTTTGTATAATATCTTGTTGAGATAAGGAATGAAAATTTAATTTTAATGGTAATATCTCTAACTCGATCAACCAATCTCTGCCAATAATCGGTGGTCCTCCATCCATTACAATATACAAACTTAATGACTTCCACTGATTTTTGTACTTAACCTTGACCTTTAAAATTCCTATTGGTATAATTATTGAACCATTATATGCTTTTAAATTAACATCAGTTCTCTCCAAATCCTACACAACCCAATTTAAATTTATCAAAATCTTTCACAGACATAACCGATACCGCTGAACCCGTATCTACTTGAAACTCTATGGTTACATTATCTACTAATAGTTTAAGACAAAAAGGTTGCACAAAACTTACATTTCTAGTTTCTAAATTAAACAAACTATTCAAATTCAAATCTACATTATCAAGGTCAACATTATTAACATTTTTTTCTTTATTCTTACAGACATTCTTTAAATGACCGACCTTGTTACAAATTGAACACTTATAACTAATATACTTACATGATGGTTTAGTATGTCCACTCTTCCCACAGCAATAACATACCCAATTTCTTTTTGTACCTTTCATGTTTGATTCTCCACCAGTTTTGCCACTATTATTCGATGATGATTGCTTGACTTTGGTCAGGAACTTGGTATTTTTCTTCTTTGAAGCTGTATGGTAGTTCACTGCTTCATGATGTTCCATCTTTGAAATGTCATTGTTAGCACTCTCCATAGCCAAACTCAGTTCAATGCATTTTTTGAAAGTTAAAGAGTCTTCGGATAATAGTCTTTTCTTTATATTACTATCTCTGATTCCCCAAATAACTTGGTCTCTCAATGCATCATCCAACACAGTTCCGAATTCACAATGTTCAGACATTTTTTTAAGTCCCGTAATAAACTGAATAATGGTTTCATTTGCAGCCTGTCTGCGTTCTTTAAACTTGTACCTTTCAGTAATTAAATTCGGTTTCGGATTTATGTAATTTGTAAGCAACTTTTTGAGATCATCATATTTCTTTTCAATGGGTTTACTAGGTGTACATAAATCTCTCAGTAATGCATACCCATCGTTACCCAACAATGTTAAGAATAATAATTGTTTTTTATGCAAATTAATTTCATTAAGCATCACATACAATTCAAATCTCTCAATCCAAGAATTAAAATCATCTTCTTTGAGCTTAAATTCTGTCAATTGACCCATTTGTTGCCCTGTGCAAACACGTGGACTGACCTGATTCGAAGCCTTTCCGTCCATTATAAAGTAATTAACACTACACGGAAATACGGAATTACTTACATACGTACTCGAATTATCTTCGTCGCCAATGTGGTGTACCGAGTACTAATAATTAACACATTACATTAGATTAATTAAATATTCACTTTATTAGACATAGTTGTTTCAATACAACATTACAATACTCAGCAAGAGAGTATATCATAAAAACATAACCTTAAAACTAATTATCATGGAATACTACATACATTACATGTTCATAAATGGTTGCCATGGTATAATAATTATACTCCGTTATTGTTGCATCAAAATAATATTAGGAACACGGGTGATAAGTAATAGATACTACATTCATAAATTGACAAAATTGAAAAATAAAAGTCTTTTAAAAATGTGAAATAACTTAGAAATCCGCTATGGTTACTAAACGTTAGGTTTTGAGCGTACTAAGTCTCATAAATCAGAACAAGTACCTAGGTCACATTTATACTCATACATAAGTTAAAAATTATAATACGTATGTTAAATCATATACATCACTCGACACTCATGACTCATGATTTAATACATGTAGAATTCATAAAAAAAATGATTTTACCTATTATTAGCAAAATTCTGTTTATTTTTTCGATTTCATTTTAATATAAATACATTTATCTAACTATCTAAGTACTAGTCATTGCATTTCGAAAATAACAAAGTAATTTTGAATCAAATGAGGGGTTTCATTGCTTACGAGCAAGGCAGTGCACGGGGACATCTAGAACTTAGAAGCTATATAAATGAGTAATTGATTTTTGCTAACAACAGTTAATTTTTGAAACCACTGGACAAATGTATAAAAACGATATGCCTACAGATTCACGGGGATCCACGTACCTACCTAGTGTAATTGGCTTCAGTAACAAACATTGGAATTCTAAAATGTAGCACTAGCACTTTGTCAACACAAGCTACAACATACAAATTAATTAATCAAAAATACAACAGATATGTACATGCGCATACTCAACAAATGTAAATATGTAATGTTGCTCATTTAATGTGTTTGTTATTATTATAAAACCGCAAATAAGTAATAACGTAGGTATATGAATATCTAACCTCACCTCTTATGTTGTCGACTCCATAATAAATAATTCATCATAAAGTAGTGGAATCGTGGTGACTATATTGTATATTTGTATAGGTACATATGTTTAGTTACACAATATTATACAACAAAAAATTTTTAATTTATGTCTCTAGACGCTATATTGTTAATCCAAAAAACACAAGACATGGACATGCACGTCAATCATCATTGAACCGTCTGGTATTATAATTAACAAAGTAAATATTATATCGTATATTATTATGTAATACGAATAAATCGATTAATCGAACCTAAATTATTTTGATGATTGGTTTACTGTCGCAGCATAATTATATCATATATTATTTAAACAAACATTAATTTTCAATGAAATGATTTAAAATGTTTAAAATAAATATTGAATTTATAATTGAATATTAATAACAAATAACTGTTTATACTTTATAAGAACGAAATAGTTCGTTTCAATATTTAGTTTATAAAACAACGTTTTCTCGAAATGACTAATGTTTATAAAACAACTTTAAGGAATATTTTATACTTGTGCAAATTTATTGGTATTATTAACATATCTTACATATTAGAATCGAATGGATTATTAATACAAAGTACAGACATAATATATAAACTTCTTGAATTCACACGAATGATCTTATTAATAATATTCACTTATTATATACACAAATATGGTGCTTTTCCTCAAACAATAAATTTATGCAATGTATGGTCCGTCATTATTGCTTCCAGAATATCAGAAAAACGGGTGATACAGTAAGATAAATAATACTATTCTTAATAATAAATTAAGATAATTTAAAAAAAAAAATTTTTAATTTTTGATTGTAACCTAAGTCATTGGATAAATATAAACGGACGTTTCATCTCCGTAAAAAAAAACAGTCCATCATGGACGTTTCGTTTGTTAATTATTAAAATAGGACATTTTGCCCACGGGAGCTATTACAATATAAAAGACGTGTTTTAGTCATAGCAGGGCATAATTTACTAAATATATTATTTAAAAATTAAATTTGACTGAAGAAAGTTCTACTGTAGGTAATTTAAATTTAAACTTAACAAATATACTGAAATTTTATATTTTTGAAAAAGAATATGACATTTCATTGTAAATAATTTTAATATAGTATGGTATTGACATTTTAAATTAAAAATAAAAGGTGACTGAAATATCGAAACATAAATAATAATTAGGTACTTATGTATATTCTATTTAGCCAGAGAACGCCTTGATTCTGTGCATCCCTCAACACCCTGCTAAAGTGGTGATGAGCAAAATATCCAATTTTGGTCTGCCCGTGCGGAGTACTCTCGCTGGTGACCGAGTACAAAATGTATTTGTATTGTACCTAAATGTACTATATTTTTATACAGTTTTTTTTAGTAATTTTTATTAATGAAAATTATATTGTATGTAGGTATTATATTTTATAACATTTTAAATTTAGTGATATAAAATACCGGGAACGTGAACTGGTTTTTTTTTACGGTGACGAGACTGGGGACGAAATGTTATAAATATTATGTAATGGATTTTACATTTATTTCATGACAATTTTATAATCTTACTAGGTGTACAACGAAAGAATAAAATAAGAAGGTAATTGGTTTTTTTCTTATTTCGTTTTTGCAGGTTGATGAATGGCATCATCGAGTACGACCAAAAGCTAACATCGCTTCCAAGATTTTTATTTATTGCCCAACACTCACGGAAGAAAAATTATTGGAACATAATTTTTATTTTCACGTTAATTTACTATGCTATAGTGACATTATCGATATTTAAAACATTTCCACCGAAAACTATTGACATCTTCACGATCTCCTTCTATTTAGTTCGATTAGAATTCCTCGTGGACGTTGCAGTAATTTTTTCCACATGTTTTTTCTTACAACAATTGGATTGTAGATTCCAAACGTTAAATGATTCCTGGCAATATCTTTTACCCGGATTTATTTCAGTCCCAGCTGGTGAATTATCACATTTTATAACTGGAATGACGCTGGACAAAATACGGTTGTTACACGCTGAACTATCGGACCTATTAAGAATATTCAGTGCGGGTTACGGACAAATGCTAGTAGGATTCTTTGTATTCAGTTATACTAATACGGTACTCACTTTTTATTCTATGATTCATTATAACGCTATGAAAAGAGAAGAGTCCACTTTTATTTATTTTCTAAACACTTTTATGATATACGTGACAAGCCTACAGAATGTCACATTTATTTTATCTATTATAATGGCTGCATCACGTGTACACGAAAAGGTAGGTAATATTATTATGTGTACAAATATTTAAATATTAGTACGGTACTACTATAAGTAAAAAATTAAAAGAATTATCAAATTTGTACAGATTAATGGATTAATATGTAACAATACTAACAGAATTAACGAAAAAGTAAAAACGCTACATCAATAAATACTTTATGGCTTATAGATATAATCCCCATTTATGAAGTCTAAAAATTTGAAAATTCTAGTATAAATAATAGAATTATTATATAGTATGATGTGTGTACCCGCCAACCGTGTTTTTACTATGTTGTACGTTTATTTTTACATTATGTTGTTTAAAAACAATTAGGAATATTTAATGATGTTTTATTTTACTAAAAAGTATTAGCTAAGTACATACCTACCTAGGTATATTTATTGAATTTAAGTAAAAGCACTAGTTTAAAAATTAAAAACATTATTCAATTAAAGATGCAAGTAATATTATGTGTAACACAGACCACAGTTTTTCATTTTTTAAAGGACAACATTAATTTTGTAGACAAATATTGATGAATATTAAATACTAACACTCAGTAGCGAATTTTCAAAAAAAATTTGGGGGGGGGGTCCTAAAAAATAATATATATTTTAAATGTATTATTTTTATTTTTATAAAATTGATTTATTAATTATATATGTATAGGTATATATCAGTGTATGGGGGGGGGGGGTCCAGAATATTTATTAAATATTTTTGGTATTGTCATAATAAAAATTATTGAATTTTTATCTTCTAATATCTATATTTTGGTATCACCATTGATTATAATTACTAGTATTTATAATCAATAGTACCACTACTTGAATAGTCTACAGTATTACTCTCAAGATTAAAAAACCTTTAAAAAACCTTTAACTCTATTAGATAATAAATATTTTATTTATATGCATAATATTAGTTTAATTGTTTACAGTTGACATATTTGTAAATACTCTAAAAACGTAGTCACCGACAATGATGATATTATTATTTAATGAATTATTTTCAAATTTTTTTTTTTGTGTAGATAAACAAAAAATAAAATATTTATATTTAGGTATATCAAATTACAATAATATCAATAATTGGTATACAATATAAATACACAATACAATACAATATACTTAATGCTTCACAATATACTTAATGCTTCACAATAAATTAATGAATTCAACCAGTGGAGTATTTAGGAATTTTGATAGGGGGAGGATGAAATATATAATAATTAATAATACACCTATAAATATACGTATATAATATACATTTTTGAAATCCCTAACTATTGTTACCTATTCAAGTAAGTGGATCAAGGCGAAATAAGAAACACACTGTATAGTACCTAATACTTATATAATAGCATTTATTATAAATTCATACTAGCGCCAATCCTGTGTTTAATACGATAAACAAAAAAAATTGTTATAATACAAAATCCAGTTTTCTCATTTTTTGGATGCTTGTTCATCGATAACCTCATCTGGCGTTGTTATTGTATTGACCGGTGACATGCCAATAAAGCCAACACATTAAGGAATAAGGACTCGTATTACAATAGGTTAAACCACGGAATTTGGCCTGTAAAATCAGTGGGTTAAGTGTAACCAAGGTTTAAACTATGATTGTAAAACGGGCCCTAC